TGGAGCGACTGTGTATTACGCGTTCCGATCTCCAATCCCTAGATTCTGTTGCTCGTCTCAGTTGCTCGATTATTCGCTCGCTATCAACCGATGTCAACTGTGATTCATATTTCCTTCCCAAGATACATCCCTCGGGCCCGCCTGGCCTTTCATTTAAGACGTGATCACACGAGTCACTTTCGTTGATCGATATGTAAAAAAGATTCTCTTTCTGCAAAAGAAATTTTTGAGCGCGTGAAAAATGTTATGTTTGGAGTAATAATATGAATATAGAATCAACAATCATTGATACGCCAATAACAAACAGTAATTTTTTGTTACAATTAAAAAAGAAACGACTTTTTTTTAATACAAAATATTACAATGTATTTATTAAATAATTTAAAAAAAATGAAGATTACCTTATTTATATATTATATCATAATATATAATAATATATATAATGCTCATTTATTATTTATGATTATTTTGGATTTTTTAGATTTATGATTATTATGAATTTTTTAGATCCAGGAGGTGGGGAAGGTAGAAAAACATTAATATGTGCCGGTTGTCTCAATGCTATTGAGGACGAATTTATACAGGCATTGAACCAGGAATGGCACATTGATTGCTTTCGGTAAAGATGCTAAACATATGCTTTAAGAAAATAGCATTATGTCTATAAAAAACTATCACGATGCAATCTATTAATTATATTATATTTTTACAAAGATCTAATATCTTCTAGATGTTCGGCGTGTGACATTGGTTTATCCTCCTGGTACTTTGAGAAAGATGGTTTGCTATTTTGTAAGGATGATTATTGGGCTGCTTATGGCGAAGCATGTCAAGATTGTGGCCAGATCATCACAGGCCCTGTCATGCTGGCAGGTGACCACAAATTTCATCCAGAATGTTTTGCTTGTACATCATGCGGTGCTTTTATCGGCGATGGCGAAAGTTATGCACTTGTTGAACGATCCAAGTTGTACTGCGGGGTTTGCTACAAGCGACAAATGCAACCACTTAACAGGACGTCAAACTATCCTTTTGCCAGGAAACCGCACAGCATTAGACTGGTCGAAATACCACCCAGCACAACAGATCCAGATAAGCAAAGAGGAATCAAACTCACGTTAGACACAGCTCCCAGTCCCCGCAGTTGTGGTGCTTTGCTGCGCATTTCAGAGTATGTACAATTATATATTTCATATACCTATAAATATTTCATTATTTTTAAAGTAAAAAAAATATGCATTTACATCATGAATGAAATTTTTTTGGAAACAACGAGATTTATGTAATATGTTATATATAAGCGATATTTATTAATTATAGTAAAGTATACAGATATTTTTATTACTCAGGGTTATACGATATAATATAAAACAGTCGCTTTTCTAAAACATTTAACAGCGCATGATAATCCTAATAATTATTTAAGTGAGAATAAATGTATATTAGCATCTAATAACATTTAACTAAAATGCAGG